CGATAGTCCGGCTCGTTTTTTGGCTCGATGCACGGTTGTAGACGATACACCCAGCTTATTTGCGGCATCTCGGAGAGAGAGGTTAGGGTTTCGCTTGAAACTACCGGCAACTCTCTTTGTCGTCTCAGCGGCTTCCGGTTTTCGATTTCCCCCCGATGCAGACTTCCTGGCTGTCGACAAACGTTCCCCAAACACTTTAATTACATTTGTAACGGTTGATTTGGCAACTTTTAGCGATTTTGCCAACTTTGCGTGCGAGTAGCTCGGATTTTCGCGATGCGCGAGCAAAATTTTGATACGCTGCTCTTCTTGCTTGGACGGCATTTTGACAACTGAAGAGTGAATTCCAAAATCAAAATAGGAGCAACATTCTACACACACACACCTTCAAAATGAGGTTTTTTAAATGCAAAATTGAAAGAAATACGTCAAGTTGATATTGACCAAATTTTGACCGTATCACCCTTTACTACACTATGTTTGTGTTGATTCTCTATGAAAGTTTGACAGATAAAATGAGGGGTTCGTGGATTTTCCCATGTTTCGAGGGGTGCATCGATTAGCTTGGGACCGAAGGTAGTACCAGAGCTGTGCCAAAAAGTTGAGCACGTTTCTTCGGGACCTGCTAGTCTTAGAGTTAGCTCTATGCTAATACCATACAGGTAACTCTAAGACTAGAAGGTCCCGAAATAACGTGCTCAACTTTTTGGCTCAGCTCTGGTACTCTTTTCGGTCCCAAGCTAATCGATTCACCCCTCGAAACATAGGAAAAACCAATAACCCCTCATTTTATCTGTCAAACTTTCATAGCGAATCAAAACAAACATTGCGTTTTACTAGAATTTCGACTACAGCATGGTCTTGCTTTGTAGCTGCGCTTTTACCGGTTGAGCTAAGGGAGGATGCATTTCCACGACAGTTTCAGTTGTGAAAATTCAATTTGAAGAACTTTCACATCTGGTATATTTTTCAAACTAATAGTAACAAAACATCTCCAAACATTCCAGCATTTACACTGTTCTTCTTAACTGCAGCAATTTTTTTTTTTGAAAAAAAAAACATTTGAAACATTCTAAAAGCAGAACATCTTTTCACACAAAAAATCAATAATCTCAAGGGTTCTCAAAATTAAACTTTATTTGCCACACAGACAATGAAAATGCGCCTTTGATTTTTAAAGTAGGGGAAATGTCTCTAATGTTGTCCTATGGATCTAAGATTGGGCCCATCGCAAAAAATCTGCTATTTATCAATTTTATCTAGATGAACGCGTTATTGGGACGTTACTAATGGATATTTTTGGTTACTATTGAAAATTTAGTTGATTTCTGAATTTATGTATGGGCCCAAATTAGGGACACTTAGGCCGACATTACCTGCATTTCCCTATGTAGGAGAAATGGCTCTAATGTTGGCCTATGGATCTAAGATTGGACCCATCGCAAAAATCTGCTATTTATCAACTTTATCTAGATGAACCCGTCATTGGGACGGTACTAAAGGATATTTTTCGTCGCTACTGAAAATTTAGTCGATTGTGGAATATATGTGTGGGCCCAAATAAGGGGCATTTAGGCCGACATTACATCCATTTCCCCTATATAACTTTTCCTGAATGTAAGCTAAAGATGTAAGGAAAAATTGATAAAAGGAATGTACCGCATAATCGTGTCTTTACTGCGTGGAATCATTCATGCACAAATGACGAAGCATTTTAGGTGGGAGGCATGTGTGCAAAAGTTGTGACCAACCTTGCATTAATTACGTATTAGAAAATACGGTTCGAAAGGGCTCTCAAGTAAAGGACGAATCATAAGATTTATGCACTATTTTGCCATGCTGCAAACGTTTGTTGAATGTTATCACGGCTTTTGTGATTTAATGGTACTTACTTGGAAAAAATTACTTCGCTTGTTTTTCAATCATATGTGGAACTTTTCCTCAAAAATCTCTGTCGCTACTTGAACATGAAATTAAAATACCTATTTGCCTTTTCGCACAAGTAGCTCAAATGATGGAATTTTCTTTTTGTTCAGTCGATTGATAGAATAAGATAAGAGCTCACAGACATGTACAAATCTACCGAATCTGACCATTTGAATTCACAACATTGAGAATACTGTGAAAGACAGATGAGCAGCGATCATTGCCTACTTATTTTATGAGACTCATACAGAGATTGGGCAAAATAAGCGGGACTAGCAAAATGTTGTCCAACTTAAATGATCCATAGTTTCATGAATAATTTACCGTCAAACGAAGTGCAGTTGATCAATGAGGTTGATCACAACATCGTTCAGTTTTTATTTAAGGACATTTATTTTTTATGATAATTGTATGGGAAAATTTGTTCAGAATTTCATTAAGTACTTTTCAATGGTACCCAAGATTCGACCGCTCTAAATATGCAATTTTGTGAATGTGTGCCTGTATTCAAACTAACCGCCACTGACCAGCAGTGGTATTATGAAAGAAAGTCATCTGCAATTTCTCGTTTGCGGTAATTACAGACAGTTTAGGAGTTAGAAGTTGATAGCTCTATTGTATGTCCAACAACCCATTTCCCCCTGGGGCAAAGATAATACCAGAGCTGAGCCAAAAAGTTGAGCACATTTCTTTGGGACCTACTAGTCTTAGAGTTACCTCTATGGTACAGCCACCGACAAACCGACATGACACTTAATTCTGACTTATTTCCGAAAATCGTTACGGGCGATTTAAATGCAGTTATCCAAACCACAGACAAACAGACGTAACTCTTTGAAAAAGTTTTTCTTGAAAACATAGTATCTCAAAACATATGAGCTCAGTAACGACATCTCTCGGGCTTCTCGCGGAAAACAAGCTTGCTCGATAACTCGCAAACAATATTGCATAAAAGTTCTATAGAATGTATAGAAACGTCAAAGTGATCCGATGCCAGCGCTGCGGCGAGTAGTTCGCGGAACTGATAATATTCAAATCAACCGTTAAATGCGTGAACGAAGATACACAATGAAGTGTTACGTCTGTTTGTCTGTGTCCAAACTGTCAAAACCGTAGGATTTTTTATCTAGATAAAAATAATTTGTCCAGAATAGATCAGACACGAACCAATCCATAACTTTTGCATACGGGTTCATGGCTTAGCTAAATATGTCCCGCAAGCACGGAGCCTGATTGTCAGTAGTGTGCTTTGGACAGAAATTTTATTGTTTTTGCCATTCATGTCGGTTTGTCGGAGGTACAGCATCTTTGAAATAATATTCTTACACAACGTTACAATATCCAGCTGTCTTAGAAATTTATTGCCGCATACTTCACCCAGTATCCTCAAACACATTGGCATGCTCAAAGTTAATCACGCCTACCGGACCGTCGCCAATCACCCTAGAGTTTTATGTTTCCTGGATAGCGTCATCGTCCTAGAATGCATTGGATATGTTTTTCTTCAATTGAACTGGCTTCGTTAAACAAGATAGAAGTAGATATTCGAAGACGACTTCCAACGTCGACGGCAGATCCCAAAGCAGCAATGAGCAGAATATTCTAAACCGACAATTGAAATAGGCGGAACAACCAGCATCTGAAAGAACAAACTTCCTTTATCAAATGGTATTCTTAGATTACGCAGGTGTCTTTTGATTCTTTTGAAATTTGTGTTTAAATCTCGGGTTAAAGCCATTTTGTGCGTTTGGTTGTACCAAGTTGTACCATAGAGGTAACTCTAAGACTAGTAGCATAGAGGTAACTCTAAGACTAGAAGGTCCCGAAGAAGCGTGCTCAACTTTTTGGCTCAGCTCTGGTACTCTCTTCGGTTCCAAGCTAATCGATTCACCCCTCGAAGCGTAAGAAAATCCACTAACCCCTCATTTTATCTGTCAAACTTTCATAGCGAATCAAAACAAACATTGTGTAGTACTAGAATTTCGACTAGAATGGGGTACGTTAAACGATTTGCTTGGGACCAATAGGCTAGTCAAGTAGTGAGCCAATTTAAAATCATTAGTTTCCACCGGTTGATTATACCGTGTATTTGAAGAGTGACACTTCTGGCGGTAATCTCCATCGAGGATAATACCAACAATCAATACGAAACTAACGATTTAAAATTGACTCACTACTTGACTAGCCTATTGGTCCCAAGCAAATGATTAACGTACCCCATTCTAGTGTACACTCACACTTCTGTAAACATATCAAGGCCCAATGCAACAGTATTTTGCTATAACTAATTTTATATTACAATCTGGTACTTCTGGTGGCAGATCGTACACTCACACGTACTGCACGTTGCCCCCGGCAAGCGACATTCATACCTCTACTGCCTTTTTAACAGCATATTGGAAAGTTAGTTGCTCCGGGTTATGCACCAGGGCACAATGCATACTTGCTTCAGATTTAAACTTTATGAAGATCGCCTTCTCCTCAGCAATTCGATATGTAGCGTAATCTCGCACATGTTTGCCCTTGAACTCCCATCTGGATAGGCAAAACACATAGTTTGCTTTATTACGACCATTATTGTAGAAAATTATGCTCCAACAGCGACGCTAAAGAGCAATTGAAAAAGCGCACGAAAACACGGAATTTCATTAGTAACAGGAAAGTTCGGACAAAGCAAAACGAATCACCACAATACAATTAGTAAAATTTTATTCACATTTTACTGAGAGATTGATTCACAGGAATCGTTTTTCTATTTTAATGTGAGACTTTTGATGTTCTAATTGTCTAAACAAAAATCGTGCACTGCTAGCGTGATTAGTGAAGATATTTTCTTTTTAGATCGTAACTGTGGCTACAAAATGTTGCATAATGTTTCACATTATGTACCTAGCTTGATTTGAAATCGAACAGTTTATATTTGTTTTGCTAATTTGCTCATGATTATCAAGTTATGGCAAAAAACTGTCTTCCCCTAATATGATGAACGTGAAATTTCCTGCATTTTTTTTTCTAATTAATTTATTCATATTTGATCCAAGTGTTGCTCTTGATTTGCTTTGCAATCACGCAAATAAATTTATTTTTGGCACCATTCTTCAAACCGCAATATTATCTGATTGTTTTTTTTTTTTTTTTTACTTTAGGCACAGTGATAGCGTATGAAAGCTCTCATTTCATAGGCTACGACAGAAGGGGGTGTCCTTTTGCAGCGACAAGCACACTTTTCAGAAACGGAAATAGACGGAAACACAATTCAGCTTATTTTAAGAGTACAGAAACGAAAATAACCTAGCAGCTAAACATAATTACAATTTCGAAACTTAATTTGAATAGAAACGAATATAAAACTGCGGTACTTTTTTTTGTTTTGTTGAAGGACATAAACAGCTGCCAGCAGTATGTAATTTAATTGCAGGATTAGTTTTTAGTGAAGGCGAGTGGGCATTTTCATACTAACAGATCTTAACATTTAAGGGGTGTCTTTGTGTACTAACTAACTGGGACGCTATAAGACTATAAAATCTAAATGAATCTTTTGATTGGTGAAAGAACACAAACAAACATAAACGTAAATGTATAGCTGGTCCTGGAGCGAACCTAGGCAGCTAGCTGCACCTTACGTCTCTCAACGTCTGGGAACAGTATCATGTTTCTTCTACGGGGCGACCGGGAGAGATCGTACAACTCAACTTAATACGGCACACTTCATCAAGTCAATAAAACTCCGTACCAAAAAAATAGGTAGAAGAAAATCAAAAGATTAATCCACGGTTGACTCCCAAAAAAAAAAGCGATAAGTGGGTCAATGTTATGTAAAAGCTACCATTGGATTCGCTTCAGTTCCCATTGGAGGAACCGATTTGGTATCGTCCGTTTTTGAAGACAATCACCAGCACCGTGATGTTGTCCACCGAGCCACGATTGTACGACTGCAGGGTGATACTTTTAGCACCAAAATGTGGCTCGTCCAACCGTTCCCGGATGTACGCGACGGCTTCCTCGTTGGTGAAGGTATCCCACAATCCATCGGTGGCCAGAATCAGGAACATTGGTCTGTGGAACAGGAAAGTCACTAAATAGAACTATGAGGACAAATCACTTGTACTCACCGATGATCCACCAGATCAAACGACAGAATGTCCGGTTCGGCTATCACAAGATTCTTCTCCTTGAGCGGATAGTCACCCATAGCTCGCGAGGTGGCCAGGATTCCAGCCACCCGCCAGACGCCCTTGAACGAAATGAAACCTCCAGCGTCGGCGATCCGCTTCTGCTCCCGCACCTGCTGTGGCTTGTGGTCGAACGACAGCGGAATTGCATTGCCCTTGTGGTCGCACATCACACCCCGCGAGTCGCCGACGTTCGCTACGATCAGCTTGGTGTGGTGCATTACCGCAATGAGAGCCGTCGTACCGGCGAAATTCGACTGAAAGTAGAGGAAATTGGAGGGCTAGGTAAATCAACAAGCAGTAACAGGTATCCGTAAACTTCTTTTTGCAATCGGAAATGATGCGACGAAAATAAAAATACATTACTTTTCAAATTCTTCGAAAATGCATCATGGTAAATTGCACCTTAATCACCCACCACTAGGGATAGACCATCGAGGGAAGTGCGTACATACATCATTCATTGATTTAGCCAGTCAGTGATGGATCGATAAACGAGCGTGCTCCCAAGCTAAAGTCTCACGAACCGATCCATCACTGGGTTTAGCTAACTGCGTCGGTTTAGAATAAAAAATGATTGCAGAAGTCGCCATATGGAACCAAGCCGATATTTTTTTGTTTAGAAGGTAATCTTTCTCGAGGAATGATTCAGCCGGTTCCAGGCATCTAAAGCTATTGTTCGTTAACTAGCGATTGACATTAGATAGCACTTGTCTTCAATCAATTCGAAATCCCGGAATGCGATAATGGGGAACAATTCCACTTATTAAACGATCTTTCTTTAACCTTAAATGCCATCCTATTGCTAGCGACTTGTTCAGGGTGACCAGTGAATTTTCATTTAAAAATTCAATCCCGGAGATTACTTTTATTTTGATTACTTGGACTGGCTCAACTCCATGTAATTCAGTCAATTCTGATCCAGAGATTCACCACTGACCTTTCAAGACAACTTTGAAAAGACTGTCAGTTTTGGTGTCGTAAGTGAAAAACGTGTGCTGCTTCTCAGTAAGATACTTGAGAAGATGTTTGAATCCGTACAATGTTTCAGTCAATACGCGGTATTCATTGACCCCGACAACCAATTTGAAGCTCAAAAGTTCCGTGCGAAGACCATGGAAACGTAAGTGTTTATCACTATAGGGGGGACCTTTTCCTTCTTGGCATTAAGCCGGGCGATGCTTAGTGGAATTTTGTTTAGGTGATGGATTATTATCATCATCCGTGAGCATATCAAATTGATTGCTCAAATTAATTTAACAGAAGGGGGATCAAGAAATTGCCCTTTTTGCGTTTACTGCCGTTATACGCATAAGAGTCCCATGGTACATAAGGATTGCATAGAACATGGGACAGTTATGCGTATAACGGAAGGCGCCATGGTGGCAGAATAAAGTTTATCCAAACAGGGGGCGACCCCGGCGTAGTGGTTAACATCCATACCTCTCACGCCAAAGTCACGAGTTCAAATCTCACCCCCGGACAAGTCACGAATGACCCAAGAGTGTTAAAGTGACTACACTGGAGTCGCTTTTTACGCGGGTGATACGTCCCGCGTAAAAAAAAACCGCGTAAATTCCGAAATCCGCGTAAAAAAAACCGCGTAAAAAAGACCGTGTAAGAAAAAACCGCGTAAAAAGCGATATACCGCGTCAATTCTGAAATCCGCGTAAAAAAAACCAAAATCCGCGTTAAAAAAAACCGCGTAAATTCCGGAATTCGCTTAAAAAAAAACCGCGTAAATTCCGAAATCCGCGTAAAAAAAAACCGCGTAAAAAAACCGTGTAAAAAAAACCGCGTAAAAAGCGACTCCAGTGCATAATAAAAAAAAAAAAAAAAAGTAGTTTATCCAAATCGACTTCCAAGCATGATTCCCTAGGGTAGGACCCAAATAAGGATCGAAGAGGAATAGCAATCGAACAAGGTAGAACATTCTTAGACAACCAGAAGTCGTATAACAATGTGCAGACAGTATCGTAAATTGCTACAGTTTAAGTCAAAATTGCATATAAGAATGGCATGCATCGCATTATGTTTAAGTAAAATCGTATAGAATGCAAATTTCCGACTTATATGCGATGACCCATTTTTTCGTCGTACTGTATCACAATTAAAATCGGATTACATCGTAAGACTCAATTTGTTATTACAGATTAAATTGTAGGATCGGTTGAGGCAAGAGTGCCATCCTCTATAATTTTGAAAATAAACATGTCTTCAATACAAATTCACCCATGAAACTATGAATGGTGTTCCTATGCAGCATTATAGAAAGTTCTGTCCAAAATGAAGTATACCAAAAATTGCAAAAAATCATTTTGTGCTGATGTGTCAAAAATCGAAATTACTTATAATAATTAGACATCATAAAATAAGGGTTTTGGAATTTACAAACATTGTTTTGTACAATATATTCTACAAAGAATATATAAATATTACCTATAGGCCGGAACAAATCACAAGTTTTTCTTTTGTCACTCGATGCTTGCACCAATCGAGGGGGGAGGGGGGGAGGTTATAAAAAATAAACCAAAAAAAAAAAAAAAAACATATAAAATTCATTTTACATTATATCTAAACCGTATATTTCAAAAGCTAACATTTTTTCTTAGCCACCGCTTTAGCCTTTACTTCATTGAAGCCGTGATTTTTGACACTAATGCCACAAATGTTGACTTTATTATGTGTAACACACGAGTTATCAACAAGACATTTCGCGCATAAGTTTGTGTATCCTTTCAAGGAAGAACATTGGTAATAATGAAGATGAATAGGATCAAAGCAATTGATTTTTGGGCATTGATAAATTCCGGATAAACCATCAAGCGGAATACCACAAACGTAACAGTTCTTATGAAAAAAAAAAAACGTTCTGTTTTCGATACTTCCTCCGTATCCAAATATAACTCAGTTTTCTCAACAATTGTTCGTGTTTCAAAAAATCTAACTAGACGTATGGATTCAGGAAGGTCTATTCAACTATCCAAGCGTAATATTCAAAGAAAGGAGCCAAAATACATCTTGGCTGAACATAAAAACCAAATTTTAACAAAAATACGTAGTTTTGTCAATTTAAATCTGGCTTTGGGTGTGCTTAAAAAAATAATCATCACATATGAATTCAGCAAGGTCAATTCTATAAAATCTAAGCATATTGCAAAGGACAGTATCAAAATCCAACTTAGCAGAAAAGGAAAACCAAAAAAAAACCTTTTAGAATTACAAACCTGGTTTAACCTTCACGTATGAATTCAGCAAGGTCCATTCTAAAAAATACGCCTATTTTTCAAAGATATGAGCCGAAATGCAATTTGGCAGAAGCGAAAAACCAAATTTCTATGAAAATACGGATGGATTCAGTAATTCGGTAAAAACCACTTCTATTTTTCAAAGGAAGGAGCCGAAATTCAACCTGGCTGAACAAGAAACAAAAATTAATATAAAAATACGTACTTTTAAGAATCCAGTTTTCTAAAAAAATGTGCATGCTTCAAAAAATGTACCGTCACGTATGGATTCAGCAAAGTCCATTCTATAAAATTCAAGTCTATTTTCAAAGATCGGAGCCGAAATTCAACTTGGCAGAACAGAAAATCAAAGTTTTTATGAAAATACGTACTTTTGTGAATTTAAACTCGGTATTCTCAAAAATTGAAGAAATTCAACCCTCACGTATGGATTCAGCAACTTCTATTAAAATACAAGCCTATTTTTCAAAGATAGAAGCCAAAATTCTGTTCGGAAAAACAGAAAAATTAATTTTCTATGAAAATATCTGCTTTTGTGAATATTAACCAGGTTCGTCCTTCCGGTATTCAGCAAGTTTCATTCTATAAAATCCAAGCACACATTTCAAAAGATTAAACCGAAATCCAACCTGACTTTAAAAAAATCTACCATCACGTATGAACTCACAAAGGTCTATTCCATAACATCCAAGCCTGTTTTTCAAAGGACGGAGCTAAAATCCAACTTGCCTGATCAAGAAACCCAAATTTCTATAAATTTTGTATAGTACGTATTTACGTACTTTTGTGGATGTAAACCCAGTTTTCTCAACAATTGTGCTTGATTTAAAAAAAAAATCTACCATCAGGTATGAACACACGATGGTCCATTCTTTAAAATCTCAGCCTAATTTTCAAAGGATGTGAATCTCACAAGAACTAGGAAGGGATCTAAGGGAGCGGAATCTACGTTAAAAGTTAGGTAAATCACTTCAGGAAAGCTCAGACTAACATTCAATATAATTCAATCACTCAACAGAAAAGTTTGGACTCCCTAAGGAAGGTTTTGAACCACTTCAGAAAAGGTTGAACACCATTTGGAAAATTTAAGCTCAAAAAATTGTCGGTTCACTTCGGAAAACTTTCTACACTTTCACTAAGCAAGATTGTGGAAGTGACAAAGGACCGCGGCGATGATGACGTACGCTGCGTTTGAGTTTCTGCAAGTTCCGTAGAGAGATGAGCTACCCTACATAGTACACACCTATATGGGCGCCCAAAATAGTATGCCGCAAGTAAGTATATCACCAAAAACTCAAGATCCAGAAATAAAAACCGATGGCACTGCAGAATAATGAGGTAACTTCTACAATGTACTGTAATTTGTACAATAATACTCATATTACTCATATTACTTTAAACAATCGTCACGTCGGTCATAGCTTGTTATGATTGCCTGAACAATGCGTAAAGAGCAAATTGAAACATTGAACGTCGCGTGATAGTGGAATTTAATCAAGGCCTAAATACTTTTTCGTAGCCTTTTGTTTTCGGATTTGAAAGATCGTCGGTTGCAGTGGCTTGCTTACTGAGCAGAAAAACGCGGTCCCAGGTCCTTTCATATTAAAAATGTATGGTAAGATCGCTTGTTTATCGTGTATTTTGCCGGGTTTGAATAGTTATAACAACTTGAGTAACGGTATGATGTGATGTGAGGGGCTCGGTGGCCTTAGAGCAACCGTTTTTGCTTACTGAGCAGCACATCCTGAGTCTAATCTCAAGCCCATCCACATCAAGATTCGTCAATCGTTTCATTTGTTAATATGACTACATGGTAATAACAGCAACTCGATGATTAAAAAGGAGCTCGTTTGCCTAGTAGCAAACGGTTTTGCTTACTGAGCAGAAGACCGTGGGTTCAATCCCAAGCTCCTTCGCGTTGTACGATCGTTAGGACATCAATTCTGGTTATCGTTTACCAAAACGAACCCTGCTGCAAACCCAACCCTCTTACCCAACAAATAGCACCT